GTTAAACTGTGTTGACACCAGAGAGTGACATCATCACCAGGTTCTGCTTCTACAGGTAAACCAGCCTGAGAACTCACTGACAGCACACCTGAAACACACAATACAACACAGGACAGACTTTCTTTATATCAGGTTTATCTGTAACAGATTTGTATGGAAATTAACTACTACAAACTGAACTATTATAAATTCAGTATGTTTATTCACGTCCAGGCCTGAATAACAATGACCCCAGTCCAGCTCTGTTCATACATTGTTCCAACTTTAGTTCGGAACATTAGTTGAAGGTTTATTGGTTCTCTCAGTATCTACTGTACAGAACTTTGACTGATTATCTTTTAAATGAATTGTCTTTCCAGACAGGAGAATATTTACATAAAAGTCCTGCATTCTGAAATAAAATATTTATTAACCTGATTATACTGCTAACTTTAATTAGACAGAAGAGTTTTAGGAGAACTATGATTTCAGAATCACTCACTGATCCCCCAGAGCAGCAGCAGAGCCATACGCAGACAGCGACCCATCATAGTTCCAAATCGTATCAGTACTGCAGACGAACTTTCGTTGACGTTTATATGGAGGGGGGCGGGGCTTATTCACATAATATTAGTTACTAGATTATAGTTACTAGATCAACAAAGTAATAAAATCTACTTCTGAATTTCTCTCTGGTATTAAAGTAAACAAAGGGGCTCTTCTCCTGGTAGCAGTCGACACCTCCATTCTCACGATTATCATCACACGAGAAACAAGAAAAAAGAACGATGATCACAATACACAGTGTGGAACAAAGAAGAAAATATGTAAACCTCCTGTATCATATTGAATGTATATACCTAAAGGTCAGTGGAGATAAACCACTAGAGTAAATGCTTTGATTTTACATGCTTTTCTAATACCATGTTTTTCATTTCTGTAAAAAAGTAGAATCTTGGAAACTTTAACATGAATTTCAGAATGTCTTAGTATTTGATACTGTATGGCTCCTTTTTGCTTTGATGACCGCGAGCACTCGAGCTGCCGTGGACTACACATGTTTGTGCAAAAGCCTGAACACAAACTTCAGTGAAAAGGCCTTAACATGGTCAGTGTTGTCATGTTATAAATGATCTCTCTTTCATTTTACTTGTCATTTGTTCTAAATTCTGAAACTTTCTGTTGTTTAATTTCAGAAAACAAAAAGTTTTGTAGTATTTTCTAACATTCAGCACTCAGAAATTTTTAAAGATCTTTAAATCTTATTCCAAAAATACTTAAAGGAGCAGTATTTGATATTCTAAGTGTGTCAGACATTGTAAACTTTTCTTCAACTGCACTTTTCCAACCTCACTTAAAAGTCTTTTGAACAGAAATAACCTTGATTTCTCACATTTCTGCAATTATAGACCAATCCCATTTATGAGTAAAATATATGAAAAAATAAATAATTCACAGCTTTGTGATTTCTTAAAGAAAAACAATGTTCATGACAAATTCCAGTCTGGCTTCAGGTCACATAGCACCGAAACAGCATTAGTGAAAGTAGCAAACAATTAATGAATTACTGCTGATGCAGGTGCTGTTTCTGTGCTTGTGCCTATGGATTTAACTGCTGTTTCTGACGCTATAGATCCATCCAGTACTTAGAACTTAATTGGCCTTCATGGGGCTGTTGTTTTGTTTAATGTTAACCTGTAACTGTAACAGTATTTAGTTAAATATGTCTTAGGTAAGCAGTATATTCTCTGAGGTGTACCATAAGGCTCTGTACTAGGCTCACTTTTATTTCTTTTGTATATATTGCTGCTGGGTCACATTAACAAGCATGAAGTCAGTTATGCTGAGAATACACGGCTATACATTTCTGTAGCACCAGATGATGTTACTTCTTTAGATAAGCTGGTAACATCTGTCCAGCATTGTTAGTTTGGTGAAGAGCAACTAACTGAAACAAGACAGATGTAGTTGTAATTGGTAATGAAGACAAAGAGAAAAATGATTTACAACAGAATTAACAATCTAAGTTAAAATCATTGGTGACACTTTACTCAAAGGGTGTCTACATAACACATAACATCTTTCATAAACACTTCATAACATGTTCATGAATGTTTTACTATACATTCATAAAGCAAAAAAATACATTTTTACATGATATTAATATGGACTACAGTGTCATTTTACTCAGATATATTTTTCTAAGTAAAAGTCAACATTTTTTTTATTTTGACAAACTAGATTATTTTCAGTTAAATTCCTCGTTTTAGGACAGCCAAAATAAAAATGACCTGGCTTTGGCCCCTTGGACAGAGGGCTTTGGCACTAAGGCACTTTTTGCCTAGACTTTCAATTTCTTTTCAATTATTTGTTTTTTCTTAAACATTTGTATTTTAAGTTATTCTGTCTCCTTATTTGTCTTCTTTAAAATTTGATTGTGCCAGAACATTAACATAACAGGCTACACACTGTTGTGTTTAAGTTTACTCAACTGTATTGGGTTTAAATTAGCACTGTTACCTCAAGAATTAATTAATACTTTACAGGTTTAATTTTATTTTTAGTGGTGTTCTTCCTGCTTATGGTAGTGGAAAAGGCACAAGTACAGTTGTGCATCAGTTATTCTGTGTTTAATTGACACTATTTGAGTTTAAATCTTATTTGCACTGTTATCTCAAGGATTGATTAATTATGTTTTTGTTTTTTTTACACTACTACAAAATGAAGTTACAGCTGCCATTCATCCTGTGATAGGTGGTAAATCTTTAAATGTCAAAGCACATTTCTTGCAAAAGGCTCAGCACCCTGAGGGAGGACAGTCAAAGAGTTACCAGCTATAACTAGATGAATGGCAGCTGTAACTTGATTATCCTTTGAAAAATTGCAAAAAAAAAAAAACAAAACAAAACAAAACAAAAAAAATTATTCAGTCCTTCAGATAGCAGTACTAGCCTTTAAATCCAAGACAGATGATTAAACTTAAAAATAACATTTTCCTCAATAATGCATAGACTGCTGGTGTAAAGTTCTGCTCATCAAAATTTTAAAGAGGACAGAGTGAAAAGGAAAAAGAATAATAACTTGTAAAATACAAATGCTTAAGAAAAAAAAAACAACCCTAAAAATATAGCATGCAATGAAATGAAAATCATGTAAACCCCATATTTAATTGAAAATAATACAAATTTCACAAAATAGTACAAATTTCCAAAACAGTTGGGCTGCTGTGCAGAATATAAATAAAAACAAAATGCAATGATGTGCAAATCATTTAAACCATATATTTAATTGAAAATAGTACAAAGACAACATATCAAAAGTTGAAACTGAGAAATTTTAGTGTTTTTCAGCAAGACAATGTAAAACCACATTCTGCATGTATTATAACAGCATTGCTCCGTATTAAAAGAGTCCAGGTGCTAAACTGGCCTGCACTGGATGCAGTGATGAACTGTTTTCACAGACAGTGGTTTTCAGAAGTGTTTCTGAGCCCACTACAGAATCATGTCTGTTTTTAATGCAGTGCCGTCTGAGGGCCCAAAGATTGTAGCTAGCCAATACCAGCTTTCAGCCTTGTCCCTTGCATACAGAGATTTCTCCAGATTATCTGAATCTTATAATATTATTTTGTACTGTAGACGAAAAAGTGAAAGTTCTTTGCTATTTTATGTTGAGAAACATTATTCTTGAATTGTTTCACTATTTGATGGTGCAGTCTTTCACAGAGTGGTGAACCCTCCTCATCTTTACTTCTGAAAGACTCCGCCTCTCTGAGATGCTCTTTTTCTACCCAGTGATGTTACTGACCTGTTGCCAATAAACCACCAGGTGTTTTTAGCATTACACAAATTTACCAGTCTGTGTTGCCCCCGTCCCAACTTTTTTGGAATGTGTTTTTGGCATCAAATTCAAAATGACCATATATTTTTCAAAAAACAATAAACTTTCTCAGTTTCAACATTTGACATTTTGTCTTTGTACTATTTTCAAATAAATATGGGGTGTAAATGATTTGCACATCATTGCTTTTTGTTTTCATTTACATTTTGCACAGTGTCCCAACTTTTTTGGAAATGGGGTTGTAATTAAAAAGAAGGAAAGTCTAAACAAAAAGTATCTAAGCACTTTCTGTCCAAAGGGGCAAAGCTAGGCCATTTTTTAAAATATAAAATGGTGTCTGGGAAAAATGTATCTGACTAAAATGACACAGTAGTCCATATTAATATCATGTAAAGCATGTATGCTTTATGAATGTTGATTTAAACATTCAAGAACATGTTATGGAGTGTTTATGTAAAATGTTATGAATGTGTTATGTAGACACGCTTCGAGTAAAGTGGTACTAAAGTCTTTGTGTGTTCTGGACTCTTTTAAATCAAACCTAATATTTTATTATTAAACTACATTCCATCATTTAATGAATAGAGCAGTTGTGAGATCAATATAAGACACTGAGAAACTGATCCAAGCTTTTGTTTTTATCTCCTCTTGACTATTGAAATGAATTGCTTACAGGAGTTTGTTACAATCAAATTACAACAAAAACAGTATTGAATATTAACACAGACAAGAAGACGAGATAAACCGAGTTTTAGCATCACAGTACTGGCTGCCCTTTCCTTTAGAGTCCACTCAGAAATTTTAGTAGTAGTTTTTAAATCTCTGAATGCCAGAGAAATCATGTTAAGATCATCTAGTGCTGCTTCTCCACTTCCCACATATGAAAATTAAAAAAAATAAATAGGTGAAGTGTCTTTTTGTTTTTGTGCACCAAAGGTCACACACCCAAACACACACACACACACACATACACATACACATACACACACACACACACACACACATACACACACACACACACAACAAAAACTCAAACACCAGTACGCAGAAAAACCCACACATGCTGTAAACCCTGATGTGTGTGTCAGTATCTGCCACATCTATTAAACGCCTTTTGACCGTGTTGTGCAGTCATCAGGAACAGTCACTCTACTGGACACTGTGGTGTTGGAAATAACTGCATGGAGATTCAAGGTAAAGTCCTTTAAAACAAAAAGAAAAACACACGAATCTCTAGAAAAAAGTACAGACTGCTCGGTCAGAATGTAGAGTGTTTTTATTATATTTTGGTTTTTGTGTCCAGTCACTTTGGACCAAGTTCATAGTTCCTGGACACTGGCCAACACTCTTTAAAGTACAAGCGCACTGAAACACTGAGGAACTTTCAGTTTGGAGGCTTTAAAATGAGAAAAATACAGTCAATGTTGGTGAATGACGAGATGACAGTTTTCAAACATGCTAATCCTATTTAAACAGTATGGAGAGTTCCACTGACTGTGGAAACCAATAGAAAACAGTTTCAGATAAAAATAGGGTGCTTACATTCAAATAGCTGTACAAAAGCCTGGTGCTATTTTAGCAGATGCTGAGCTGCTGTTTATTTCTTCTGCTAGCAGAACATGAGAAGTGTTAAAATACACTTGTGGTTTTGATGCATGGAGCAGCTGAGATAAGCTAAATGTCAGTTTTGCGGTTGGAAGGTTTTCGGAGAAAAATGTGCTTATACAAGCACAAAACACACACCTGCCCACTTTTACATGTTTCCTGGGGGGTCTTGACAATACTTGATATTACTTACTATCACTGTGGTGTCATTACAAGATACTGTAAAGAAGAAAAATGCAGTGTTCCATGCTTTACATACTCACTATGTGTCCTATAGTTGCACATTGATCCTTTTGTAGGTCACTATTGCTCATTATTGTAGGTTCTTAATGCACTTTTTGTGTTCAGCCATGAATTCTTTTACATAGAAAAGTTTAATACAGAATCTTTTTAATTCGCTGTCTTACAAATTCTTTAAACAATTCGCTGAAGAGGTCATTTGACTTCTTCAAAAATCAAATGTTTGCATTTTTTCCAGTATGTTAAATCCAGTAAATAAACAGCAGTTGTGTATTAAATGTGCAGAAGTGTGTTCTCTGTAAAGGACGTGCACTTATTTACTCTTAGAAAATCAACAATAACACTGTCATTGACCAGGGTGCCCAAACTTTTGCATGTGCCTGTATGAGCTACTAACATACGTGCCCTTCTGCTTACACTCAATGGGGATCTAAGAAAGTTATGTTGTCACTATCCAAAAAACAAAACAAAACAGTATCTCTATTTTTAATGTTTATTTAATTTATTGAATTTTTACATCATTTAAGCTCAGCAGCTGCCCGTTACATTGTGAGAAAGTTTCATGATGATTGGACCAATAGAAATGCTACATTAAAAGAAGTAAGGAACAGTTTTGTCCTCTCCTGTAAAGTCACCAAATTGGGAGATCTGGACTTTAGGAGTTGAATGATGACCAGAAGTGTGCTGTGTCTGGTTCCAAGTAATGTTTTAATGGATTTGTAATTTCCTGAGTATTTTCAAAAGATACTTTTACTTCTACTAAAGTACATTGGTGAATAAATGAAGATACATTTTAGTCATTAACATTTTAGTTCCTAGTTTATTTGTTTGTTTGATTGGGTTGGTGACATCATCAGTACTGCTTTTTGACTGAATACACATCTGAGTTTTAAAGTTCAGTGTTTTGTTTTTCAGATTGAGAGCTTAACAAACAGAGAATAGAGTCTAACAATCTTGGGTTCCATGCTAAGAGGCTGGATAGAGGTTCCAGAAGTTCCACTGCAGTTCTGTAAGTTACTCAGTACTTAAAAGAGACCCCAGCTAGGAAGACATTTTAACCATAATATGAAAAATACTTTAAACATAGATTTATTTATACTGTAAAATTATAATTAAAGATAAAATAGTAAAAAAAAATCCTGCTACTCCTGTGTTGGCATTTCATTACATTTTGGGGAGGCGACATCAAAGAGTTGCACTGGAATTGACCCAGTTTAGCTAAACCTATCTGCTGGTCAGTCTTTTCAGGGTTAACCAGAGCAGGACATTAAAAGCTGAGAGTGAGGGAAATATTATCTGTGCAGCAACCGCTCATCTGTGCTTACAGAGAAAGAGAATACACACTGTAAAGAGCTCCACTATCACACACGCTGACAAACTCACGTTTACCCTTAGAATCACTACAGAATCACTATAAAACACGGCTTTCCTGCTGTACTGTACAGTCTATAAGCCCATATTCAAAACAGCACAGCGGCCGTATCTCAGTTGCATTAGCCAAAGAGTCACTTCAGCTCAGCTGGCGACAAGTTAGCTTGTAAGATCTATTTCAACTATACAACAGCTCAAATCTTAGTTGTTATTGGCTCAAACTTTAGCCGGTAATGCATATTTCTATAGAATCTGACAGTCAGTGAAGATTATCTGCACCCCTCCTTTTCTCCTTTTCTAATTGCTAGCAAAGCTGTTCATTTTAATAGTAGTTTCTTTGACCTTCGGCTGAAATTATGCAGGCAATTTTCTTTAGTTTGGTTACTTTAATAAAAAAAATCAAAAATGTTTTAGTTATTTACTGTGGCGTCAGCATAGAAGAAGACAAGAAAAACCCTGTATTTACAGGAGGAGAGATGTAAAACATAACACAGCAGATAGTTTTGAGTGCATCATCACTCAAGATAGCAAACCATCCGTCCACCATCCAGAGAAACAAACATTTCAAATGCATTTTAATTTTTTTAACAGATATTCAAGAAAACCTGAAATACATACTATGTTTTTGATATTCTAGAGTGACAGAGTGACAACAAATAGTCTACAGTCATGAATATAATACCACAAGAAAAGATGATGCTGGCAACTAATTATGGATTTTAAGTAAACCTTATGCTGTTCTTCAGGCTGTAGTCTGGCCTGCTGGTCTCACAGAGCAGGCAAAAACACCAAATACAGTACAAGGTTTAGATAATTTAGTGTTTTAATGTTTTAAACATACGCCTTAAAAGTTTGAGTTAATTAAAGTTTGAATTTTAAGTGAGCAGAGTAATCTGTGTTTTATGTCCTGTCGACTTATTCTTTGAAGTTTTAAAGCAGCCCAGACACAGCACTTCTGTTAGCCTGCTACACTTACTAACAGAGCAATTTCACAGAAGTATTGCATTTTTTTATTTGGTACAGTTTTTTAAGATTTAAGTTCAGTCATCATAAAGTTCAAGACTTAATGCAAAACAGCAACATACAAATTCTGAAATCTGCTTTATATGAATATCTGTTATAAGCAGTTATATGCTTCAAATAATCTGTGTTATAACTTCTAAACGTCCATGTACTGCTGCTACAGCACCCTGTTAGCATAGCCTTAAGGTGGCTTTTGGAAACAAGCATTATTGAAATGGTGTAAACTGGATAAATACAGGCCTATGATGCAAATTAAAACATGTATGCATTAAACACTGCCATGTAATGAAATGCTAACAGTCTGACTGTATCTGACTCTCAGGGTAAGCAAAATTACTTTACTACCAACGTTGAGCATGTCTTAGCCAATCAGATTTTGGAATTGGACGTGGCTCAAATGCACAATGCAATCTTTGATTGGCTGAGTGAATCTACAGCTTTGGCTGAATGTAAATTAGCTCTGTTTTAGCAAATTCATATTCTTATTACAACCTGTTTGTCTCGGGTCCACAGACGTCCAAAATACTCCGCTTCTGGTCACTTTTTAACCGCAATTTTTATGGTATCCCATTGGTCAGGACTCCAGGAGCTGCACTAGATTACAGGATCATTCTGCCATATTGGCAGGGTACGTTCTTTGTTAATATGCTGTAAATACTCATGCAGAATTTAAAGAGACGGCTGTTGTATTGTTTTTTTCACACTTGTCATACTTAAAAAGTGAATCAAGTGAAATGGGAGTGTATCGTTACCAAGTCCAGATGCCAAACCATGACACAATGATAAAATTAGCTTTATCGATGGGGTGGATCTCCCCCAACTCAAAAATAGTCTGGAGTAATGATCTGGACTTCCTAACGTTTCCTCCTCTTCCGTTTACAGACTTTTTCCTAGCTGGTGTGTGGCTTAAGTGGCTGTCACTCAAAGGCCCTGTCCCATTTCACCCGTTGCACCTACCACCTAGCTCCCTGTTTTGCACGTTCATGTCTAGGGGCAGGGTGTGCCATTTTTTTTTATTGAGATAGAGGGGTAGAGCGAAGTGTTAGGGCTACATGACCCTCTAAATGAAGATTTTTCAGAGGCGCACTCAAAACAGAATGTTCTGAGAAAAAAAGAAAAACCAGCAAGATGGCTGAACAAGAGACCAAAGGAACCCACAAATGTGAGAATTTTCTCTGTTAAAAATTTACGTTAACCACTGTTTTATCTTAGTTTAAAGTCGTTTCAATGTATTATGGTTGTTTTGTTCATAACAAGCATAAAATGTCGCTAAAAGTATGCTAATGCCTCAGTAGCTAGACAGCTAATTTTCCCGTTCCACCTTAAATAGTCCAGCAATTCTGAAACCTGAATTGCCAGAATGTAACTGCAAATGCACCATTTAAGGTGGAACAGAAAAATTAGAACAAGAAGCTGGCGAATATCTGACTTCAGCTTCGTATCACCAATGAATTATCGGTGGGCGATAATAAATAATTGTCTTAAAACCCCTCTTTGAAAGCATATGATGCCCTAAATATATATTTTTTAGGTTTGTCCCATTTTGTAGGGCAAGATTTCAACCACTACCCCTTGTAACTTGTAACAGATTTAACTCAGTTACTGCCATAATTCAGTCACTGATAGTTTACTCAGTTAATAGAAAACCCCATTGTAGGTAGCCTTTTAGCAAATAATGCTTGCCTAGCAAGTTAGCAACCTAATGACAACATTACTGTACTATATTACACCCCACTACATCCACATTAGTGAAGGGGCAGTTAACCTAAAGTCTAGATAAAGACAGGCTTCTTATGATGCAAACTAATAACTTCATCTCATACATTTTAACTGGAAAAAAGAGTTAGGTAGAAGATACCAAGCATGAGAAATCCAATAAATGATGTTAAAAGTTTTATTCCTTTACATCTGTACAATTAGATCTACAAAACGATTCATATGTGCTGTTTAACTAGAGCTGCTTCTGAAGGGCTGAATGAACTCGTCTTTCTGATCCGCTGGTCTTGATTTTTCACAAATCTTTTTCACTGATCTTTGATCTGATCAATATAGATCCACATCTGTAAACATATTTAGTGAGTGTACAGACTACAGATCAGCCAAATCAATACAAACAGATTGGAAGACTGGAAGATCTACACTTCTGGTTTGATCTGATAGGTTAATAAACAGTGAAGCTTCTCAATGCTAAATAGAGAAACAAATACCAACATAAGGGCAAAATCAACTCCCTCACCTCTTTTTCTCTCTTCTTCTCCAGGAGCTCTGAGGAAACTGAAGTGTGCAGCTCCTGCAGTCAATGGTTCTGGTGGCGAGCCGTCATCATCTCATTCTACAAGGATTCCGATGATAAGTGGACTACGGCAGCTCTGAGCAAGTGAAGATCGATACCCTTCTTCAGATCAGGTTCCTGCTCCTGCTTGGTGTTCAGTATGACATCATGAGGTTTTGAACTTTCCTTTCTAAAACCATGTCTTTCTTTCAGGTCTGACTTTCTGACATTACCATTCCAAAGAACAGAAGACTTACTGGACAACACAGCTCCTCTTCCTGGTAGGAATGATGTGGTATTTACAGGAGATGTTGCTTTGTTGTCTTTATCCACTGTATAACTGGCTCCTCCATGTCTGGAAGCAGCACTATACAAACCACAGAACAGCAAGTTTAGAGTCAAGAAAAAGAGTCAGTATAGAGTTACATGAAGCTTTACTTCATTTTAAGACAGCTTACCATTAACGTCCTTTGTTTTCAGCGGTCTGTGCTGCAATGTTGGAGCAGGAAACTAAAACTCCCTCGCAGTATTGTATGAATTCCTGCAGTGTCAGATCACACAGTCACCACATGCTGAACCGAAGACTGTGTTGGGTTTACTTAGCCTAAATTTAACTGAATGTTTGCATCACTCATGATTATACTTTCATTTTATACATTTTTCTGAGTATCCAGTATGTTTTACTGTGTTGCACACAGTACAACATTTTAAGTAAAGCTAAAACATTTCCAGTAGGAGTTGCTGATTTTTATGAATGATATTTGATGAGCCAGCAGAAAAGCATCGAAAGTCCTGAGAGAATTATTATTGTGATGAGATGGGTCAGGTGATTTTATACTGAGTCTCCAGGACAAGGGTTGGGAACCACTGAGTTAATCCAGTCCTGATATAATCATTAATATTCATTTATATATTACATTGTATGTTGAGTTGGTGTGCTCAGCATGTGTTTGAGTACACTGTGGTACGAGTACTCACAAAGTAGTTCTGCAAAAATACTTGATAATACAGTATTATTAGTAGATATACTAATTATATACTAAAACTATATGAATTGATATACTAATCATGTGATTAAAAAACATATGGGTAGTACTACAAAATAATTCTAGAACACTTTTAATGTATTTTTAGGGTTCAGTTTGGCAGTATAGGCTAGCACACTTAAATTAAGTGGTGAAAATAACTCAGTACTTATTAGTACAAATTAGTGGTTCCAAAATAACATAAATTTTGCGGTAACACATTCTCCGTTGACACTCTTTGCCAAAGTATATTTTTACTATAAAATAAGCACAGAATATATTTGTATGAAATACATCATTAGTGTCAAAGTTAACAAACCTAAGTGAAGTATAGTTTTGTCAAATATACATTTACTAGGTAAACAGTTAAGTATAAGGTAAAAATATATAAGCCCAATTTCAAAAAAGTTGAGATGCTGTGCAAAATGTAAATAATGTAAATAGAAATAGAACGTAATGATCTGCAAATCTCATAGACCCATATTTTATTCACAATAGAACATAGAACACATATCAGATGTTGAAAATGAGACATTTTACCATTTCATAAAAAAATATTACCTCATTTAGAACAGCAGCAACGCATCCCAAAAAAGTTGGTAGGGCTGTGTCTACCACTGTGAAGCATCCCCTCTTCTTTTAACAACAGTCTGTAAACGCCTGGGAAGTGAGGAGAGCAAATTGCTGGAGTTTTGGGAGAGGAATGTTGCCCCATTCTTGCGTGTTGTAGGATTCTAGCTGTTTAACAGTCCTGGGTCTTCTTTGCCAGATTTTTGATTTCATGTTGTGCCATATGTTCGGTTGGTGACAGATCTGGACTGCAGACAGGTCAGTTCAGCACTCTTCTTCTGCAAAGCCATGCTGTTGAGGTTGATGCTAGTGTAGTTTAGCATTGTCTTGCTGACATAATCAAGGCCTTCCCTGAAAAAGACGTCGTCTGGATGGCAGCATATGTTGCCAAAACCTGTATATGTCGTTCAGCATTAATGGTGCCTTCACAGATGTGCCAGGTCACCCATGCCACATGCACTAATGCACCCCTATACCGTCATTAATACTGGCTTTTGAACTGTGCACTAATAACAAGCTGGGAGGTCTTAAGTCTGGAGGATGTAGTGTCCATTATTTCCAAAAAGAATTTCAAATTTTGATTCATTGGACTACAGGTCACTTTTCCACTTCACCTCAGTCCATCTTTACTGGACGACCTCAGTCCATGATTCATTGGACACTTTTCCACTTCACCTCAGTCCATCTTTACTGGACGACCTCAGTCCATGATTCATTGGACACTTTTAGACTTCACCTCAGTCCATCTTAAATGAGCTTGGGCCCAGAGAAGACGGCAGTGTTTCTGGATCCTGTTTATATATGGTTTCTTCTTTGCATGATAGAGCTTTATCTTGCATTTCTGGATTGCACGGTGATCTGTGTTCACAGACAATGATTTCTGGAAGTGTTTCTGAGCCTGCAGTGATTTCCAGTACAGATTCATGCCTGTTTTTAATGCAGTGCTGTCTGAGAGCCCGAAGATCATAAGCATCCAATACTGACCATCAGCCTTGTCCTTTGCGCACAGGGATTTCTCCAGATTCTCTGAATCTTTTGATGATATTATGTACTGTAGATGGTGGAATTTCCAAAGTCTTTGCAATTTTATGCTGAGGAACATTTTTCTGAAATTGTTCCACAATTTTTACACACAGTTTTTCACAGGTTGGTGAACCTCTGCCTATCTTTGCTTCTGAGAGACTCTGCCTCTCTAAAATGCCATGTGAGTTAGTTGCAAATTGTTCCTCCAGCTGTTTTTTATTAGTAACACTTACTTTCCCAGCCTTTTGTTGCCTCTGTCCCAACTTTTTTGGAATTGGGGTTGTACTTGCATCCTGTATATAGTTTGAGTAGACTGTTATCATAGTATACAGCTTACCACTATACAGTACATGGGTATATATGCACTATATTTCCAAAAGTATTCGCTTGTCTGCCTTCACACGCATATGAACTTGAGTGACATCCCATTCTTAATCCAAGGTTTAATACGATGTCGGCCCACCCTTTGCAGCTACAGTATAAATGCCTTACTTACTGAATCTTGAGGTTTGTGAAAGTGGATATTAAAATCTCAGGCAATTATTACATTATTTGAATTCATTATTAAACTTGATAGAAAGTCAGAAAATTCCTGTAAGAACTGAAAATACGGCCCTGGCAGCCTATAGACATTAATTAGTGAAAAGGAATTCTAATTTGTTCCTCAATCATATATATTAAGAAAAAGAACTTCAGAAGAAGAGAATTTGTAGCCAACTTTCTGGCTCACGCCTAAAGCTTTAGTATGGATGGTTGCCATACCTCCACCCCGGCCGCTTAAACGAGGGATATGCGCATAACTGTAGCCTGCAGGGGTGCATTAATTTAGACCAAATTATTCATCAGATCTAATCCACATTTCTGTGAGGCACAAAGCATCAAAATGATGTTCGGTAATAATTTCATTTACAGCGACAGCCTTAGATGTAAGAGATCTTATATTAAGCAGTTTTGTACAAAGGACTCAACAAGGTCAATGTCATTTGAAAACTGATCTAGAAATAGTGCATCTTCATTTTACTCTTCATAACTTTTCTTTGTGTAAAGACTCTTAAACTTTCTGTTGTTTTTTTCCAGGTTCAAATAAAAAACAAAACTGATTTTTAATAGTAAAGTGTAGTGTGTTAGGAAATTGTTATACTTTCTCATTTTCATTTAAATCTCTACTCTGTCCTTTATGACTCTCTTGGGGGTGGAGAGTATAAAGCTTTGGGTCCAAAAATGTTTTTAGATTGGGTGTTGGTGGTGGAAATGGACAGAGCGCTCTTTGAACAAAATCATCATAAATGCGAACATATCTGGCCTGTTTGTGGTTATTTTTTTTTTGTATCTATATTTGTATATTTGTAAATGTATTTATACATTTTCCAGATTGCAGGTTGCAGCAGCACTTGAACTACATGAAAGATGGGTTTTTAGGGGAAACCAGCTGCACTGATCTACTCTCAGTTCACTTGATCTTAGTGACACTAAAGATCTTAGTGCTAAATGTAATTGGTTGGAGGAGCTTCTCTAAAGATGGAGGCCTGTTCAAAAACATAGGGGTGGAGACCTGCAGGGTTGCCATGTTAAGGAAAATAACTTATCTTTTAACTCTGCAGGAAATAGCACCCCCTGTCAAATTCAATGTGTTTTATAACTGTAAATAAATTTACACATCATCTACAGACAAAAAACAAACAAACAAAACTTTTGCACATTTACATACACAGTTATTGTTCATTTAGTGAATTTAATATAATGAGAGAAAAAAAAACAAACCTAAGCCATAGACTGTCCAAATGTTTTGGCACATTTAATATTTTTTTTTACAACTTGTTAAAGAAATAAATAGACATTGTGCACTAAAAGTAGCAGAAAAATTGCATAATTACATTCATGCTCTGTGAACTTCTTTTAACCTAGAAAATCACAAAGTCAAGGGTGTCGGTATGGTGGTGCAGTGGGTAGCGCTGTTGCCTCACGGCAGGAAGGTTCAATTCCCGGGTGACTAATCAGGGTCTGGTATGTGAAGTTTGCATGTTCTGCGTGTTCTGTTGGACTGTGTCCAGGCCAACTGGAGATTATAATCGTTTCCTGCCCAATGAGTGCTGGGTTAGACTCCAGCAGCCCCGTGTATTAATGCCTCAAAAGCGGAAGAGAGAATAATCTGCCTTCAATTCCTCAATTGCTACGGAGTTCTCGGAAGAACTGCCTGACTAAATGATAAATATATTACAATTAAACAACAAGGTGTATATCTGCACTTCTAAAAATGGATAAATTCTTCTGGTGGCTGTTTCTGGTGGGTCATGTTCATCTGGCATCGTCAGGTGAGTCTGAAAATGATCCAATCTGCTGCTTTGTGCTTTGTACAGTCAGTACAGTTGATACACTATCGAGTGATGTTTGATGATGATGCTTAATCCTGTAGTTTACTGTGTAATTAAATAATATTTAATATTTCTTAAGCAGAACACATATTACTCACAAAACATCTTATATAAACACTGAAATGGGATTGAGTTGAATTGCTTTAAAATAAGATGGTCTCACTTTAACCTCTGATTATGTAAATGAAAGTGACACATTCGCTGCCTCATATCTCCCCTATAGGCTCCGCTCATGTTGTCTATTTGAATAATATTCATGAATAAACAGAGCTGTATTGACGATGTTTTTGCTCCAAAGCTCAAGATGTGATGCAATTCAAATTATTAGTTGTAGCTTAGCGTTACATTAGTTCGATAGCTAGATAGCTAGCTAGATAGATAGATAGATAGAAAGATAGATAGATAGATAGATAGATAGATAGATAGATAGATAGATAGATAGATAGATTTAAGTTAACAATTAATGCGTGTTGGTGCAATCCACTGTAAGATCATTTTCAGTAGTACAATATCTTTTTTACATACTTCACATCTGTTTAGTACAGATTTATGAACAAACTTTAAAAACATGCTTATCCACTGTGAGCAATTGTGTCTGGAAAATAATATCTCTGTACAGCTTTTATAGGCTGGACAAAAGCTGCAAAGAGTTTGCAGCCGAAATCAAGACTCATGAATGAAACTGCACAGACTTCAGGCTTCATTCAGGCCTTGAGATGAATTCAACTGTAGAGAAACTCTGAATGCTAACTGAAGACCGAATGCAGCTCTAATGTAGTTCCCGCTATTCTTTTTATTCATTTGTTTAGATCGCTTGTGTGTGCATTTGCCAGCTACTTCTGAACAATCTGTAGCATTGTTGTGGTGTTGTGATGGGATCAGTGGGATCAGTGTTTGCTGGGCCTTCTCAAACATCCATACATTCACTGGCTGTTGTTGGACTTGCTGGCACTGCCCAACACTCCTGTGGAGTAAGTTGTGAGTTTGCTCTTAGTGTATGGAGTCCTATCTGTCTATCTGTGCTAGGGCTGTCTTTTTTGTGCTATCATGTTATCTCTTTGATTATGTTTTTTCTAGTATTTTTATGCCTCTGGGTGGCTGTGATTCCCCACCTTGACTGGTCATGTCGCCGAGCTACTCTGCTTGGATACAGTCAGTTGCTGAATATTAGGTGGCCTTTTCATTCTTCCTGATACAGCTTAACTGGCAGTTGTTCTGTGGACAACATAATCCCTACTATCTGGTCAAATAAGCAAAATAAATAAATGGTCTGTACTCTTAGGAAGGTGGACATGATGATACTGGCACAGCTACCACAACTCACACTGCCAGATTAGCACTTCTTAATAATTTCTTATGGAATTCAATCTCAGTCTCCTATCCGTACATCCACAGAATCAGTCCTGCACTGTAAAACCTCACTACACATCTAAATGAAAGAATTAAATTAACACAACTTCAGACACAGCAGTGCTGCTGGAGTTTCTAAACACTGTGTCCACTCACTGTCCACTCTATTAGACGTACCTATGCTGTCGGTTCACCTTGTAGATGTAAAGTCAGAGACGATAGCTCATCTGCTGCTGCACAGTTTGTGTTGGTCATCCTCTAGTCTTTCATCAGTGGTCACAGGACGCTGCCCACAGGACGCTGTTGACTGGATATTTTTGGTTGGTGGACTATTCTCAGTCCATCAGTGACACTGAGGTGTTTAAAAACTCCAGTAGCACTGCTGTGTCTGATCCACTCAGACCAGCACAACACACACTAACACACCACCACCACATCAGTGTTACTGCACAGTGCTGAGAATGATCCACCACCCAAATAGTACCTGCTCTGTTAGGGTCCATGGGGGGTCCTGACCACTGAAGAACAGGGTAAAAGGGGGCTAACAAAGTATGCAGAGAAACAGATGGACTACAGTCAAACAATGAAACTGACTCTGCAGTGATGTCAATACTTGTTGTTTATCTTTACAGACTCACACTCTCTGCAGTACCTTTATACTACAATCACACCAGGACTACATTTCCCAGAGTTCATTTCAGTGGGTCTGGTGGATGGACAGCAGTTTGTTTACTATGACAGTAACATCACAAAGAAGATCCCAAAGACTGAGTGGATTGAGAAGAATGTGGGTGAAGAGTACTGGAACGAAGAGACACAGACCAGTCAGGATCATCAGGATAAATTCAAACATGATGTGAAGACTCTAATGAAGCGCTTCGACCAGACTGAAGGTCAGTCTACTAATTTTTAAAGGAGTTTGTACAAGTGTAGAATGGTGTAGTTGAAAGAGTGTGTAGAACAGCACAGACTGTTACCGAATTGTGTGATGTACTAATTTTGAGGCTGTTGTTTGTGCTAAATGTCCATGGCTGTGGCAAGTTCTGCAGTCATTACACTTAAAGCTTCTAGTCTATTTTTGCTGCTTGCTGTGAGCTACCTGCAGCTAGAAACACTTACAAAATAACCCCTTTTGCCCCTCATGACTGGCTTTTCCTCTGTAATGCAACAGTGATCATGAGAGTAACACTGATGAGAGTGAAAAGCTAATATACTAATGTAGCTGATAACACAGAACATCTTTATGTAAGACATGTACTGAACTGAACTAAATATTAATGAAATTGTCTTTTATGGCATGGCATGATAAATATCACAAGCGTCACAATATGGTGACAAAACACACCAGATGTACAACAGATATTTTTGGTTTATTGATATTTTTCAGATATTTTTGGTTTACTAATGCCCCCCTTAACCATCATGAATACTGGCTTTTGAACTGTGCTCTGATAACAAGCTGAGTGGTCTTTAGCCCAGAGGACACAGTGTCCATGATTTCCAAAAAGAATTTCAAATGTTGATCCGTCAGACCACAGGACACTTTTCCACTTCCCCTCAGTCCATTTTAAATGAGTTCAGACCCAGAGAAGGTGGCAGCGTTTCTGGATCCTGTTTATATTTGGTTTCTTCTTTGCATTTTAGAGTTTTAACTTGCGTTTGTGGATGCAGCGACAAACTGTGCTCACAGACAGTGGTTTTCAGAAGTTTTCTGAGCCCTTGCATATAGAGATTTCTCCAAATTCTCTGAATCTTTACAACAGTATAAACAAACAAACGAACAAACAAATATATAAAATTAGGGAGAATGATAATGATGTTTTTGGTTTTGATGGTTAGATAAAATTTAAAGGTAAGTTAGAGCCAACGATGTGGTCAGAGCACAGATAAGCAGAAGAGTGAAATTTCTGTAGTTTTAATTACAGACGCAGTAGCCTGTGAGGCAGCAGACAGTATTTGGCTGCATATGTGAGTGTGAGAGACTCTGTTGCTGAAAAATTATCAGTGAACAATAAAATGTTCACTAATGTGTGCCACAGATCACATTCAGCTCAGTAACATCGTCTGTTTAGCTTAAACAGCTCTAAAACATGAAACAGCTCTACAAACATGCAACCAAAATGCTAACAGCTAATTTCTAATCACAACAGGCTACAAACTCATAACTCACTACAACAGTAAACTAAATCATGTCTGTGAAAGTGAAACTACAACCCCATTTCCAAAAAAGTTGGGACGCTGTGCAGAATGTAAATAAAAATAGGATGCAATGATATGCAAATCATGTAAACCATATTTTAAAGGAAAATACTACAAAGACAACATATCAAATGTTGAAATTGAGAAATTTTATTTTATTTTATTTTTTTTTTTTTTAAATATCTGCCCATTTTGAATGTAATGCCAACAACACATTCCAAAAAAGTTGGGACGAGGGCATGTTTACCACTGCTGTAGTTTTGAAAGTGAAATGTTTTCCTGTTCTTGTTTGATATAGGATTTCAGCTCGGGGTCTTCTTTGCAGTATTTTTCATTTCATAATGAGTCAAATGTTTTCAGTGGTGACAGGTCTGGACTGCAGGCAGGTCAGTTTAGCACCCGGACCCTTTTAATACAGAGCAATGCTGTTGCAATACATGCAGAATGTGGTTTTACATTGTCTTGCTGAAATAATCAAGGACTTTCCTAAAAAGATGTCGTCTGGATGGCAGCATAAGTTGCCAAAGCATGTATATATCAATCAGCATTAATGGTGCCTTCACAGATGTGCTCATCACCCATACCATGTACACTAATGCCCCCCCTAAACCATCATGAATACTGGCTTTTGTACTGTGCTCTGATAACAAGCTGAGTGGTCTGTAGCCCAGAGGACACAGGGATGATAATTTCCAAAAAGAATTTCAAATGTTGATTCATCAGAACACAGGACACTTTTCCACTTCCCCTCAGTCCATTTTAAATGAGCTCAGACCCAGAGAAGGTGGCAGCATTTCTGGATCCTGTTTATATTTGGTTTCTTCTTTGCATTTTAGAGTTTTAACTTGCGTTTGTGGATGCAGCGACAAACTGTGCTCACAGACAGTGGTTTTCAGAAGTTTTCTGAGCCCTTGCATACAGAGATTTCTCCAAATTCTCTGAATCTTTTAATGTTATTATGTACCATAGATGATCTTTGCTATTTTATGTTGAGAAACGTTATTCTTGAATTGTTGCACTATTTGCTCGCTCAGTCTTTCACAGAGAGGTGAACCCCTCCTCATCTTTACTTCTAAAGACTCCGCCTCTCTGAGATGCTCTTTTGTTCTTAATCATGTTACTGCTTGTTGCCAATAAACCACCAGGTGTTTTTTTAGCATTACACAATTTTACCAGCCTTTTGTTGCCCCCGTCCCAACTTTTTTGGAACGTGTTGCTGGTGGCAAATTCAAAATGGCCATATATTTAAAAAAAAACAATTAAATTTCTCAGTTTCAACACTTGATTTGTTGTCTTAGTACTTTTTTAAATGAAATATAGGGATTAAATTATTTGTACATCATTGCATTTTGTTTTTATTAACTTTTTGCACAGCGTCCCAACTTTTTTGGAAATACGGTTGTATCTTGAATTTACAGCTAACAAAGATAGTGACCTTAACAGCAGTTACAAATGGTACTCACTTCAATCAATCAACAGCAGATGATAAACTAACAAATTAACTTCACTCCAAGTTTGGTTTCTCCTCAACATGTGATGTACAGAAATTGTATACAAATTGTAATAAATAAAGAGGAAACTCTAACTGTTAGAGCAGGTTTGCCAACTGTTGGATAATATAAAATGTTCTTTCTCAGACTTCACTCAAGTTTTTAATGCATCAAAATCAAATTTATGTATTGATACAGCCGTCACTGTAATATGTATCGCCACAAGCTTATCCATGAGATTTTCTGTTGGATATTTTGAACACAGCCCTGGTTCATACTGAAGGTTAAGAGCTGAATTACAGCTAAACACAGAGCAAAAACAGTGTTTTAAACCTAAATTAGGGCCTCAGAGTTTTTGTGGTTGTATTTTTTGCATTTTGCAGTTGATGAGTGTGTGTCTATGTATACGTGTGTGTGTGTCTGCAGGGTTTCACACAGTGCAGCACATGTACGGCTGTGAGCTGGACGATGATGGTGGCTTTATTAGAGGATTCTGGCTGTACGGCTATGATGGAGAAGACTTCATCAGCTTTGATCTGAACACTGAAACCTGGACTGCAGCTCATCCTAAAGCTGTTATTACCAAAAGGAGGTGGGAGAGTGAAGATGAAGCTGCTCATGTTGAAGCCTACCTGCAGAATGAATGCACTGCATGGTTACAGAAGTATGTGAAATATGTCAGATCCAGTCTGGAGAGGAAAGGTACAGTGATCTGATCTGTTACTGTAACTGTTCACTCTCACTGTTTCACCCTCATCACTGAAAACCTGCTGATCATTTACTCACTGATTACTCACCAGAATGTGGAGGAGAAACTTCCATCCACTGCGCACTTAAGGTCGTCACACACCGGACACAATGTGTTGCATCGCCCAGCTTCCACAAATATGAAACCATTATTTTCAATAAAGTAGTGTGCACACTGACAGCCATATCGAAACATCAGAAGGCCACATCAGATCATATGTAGCCTAGAATTTACACAGAGGAAGGAATTCAGCCTTGATACACCTGTTACTAATTCAACATAGTATATGAATAGTGAATACCGTAGACTCTCTTGCATATCCAAATACAGAATCAGAGATGGGGGAGGAGCAAAGTAGCGCGCTACGGTTTGAAGTTACCTACAGATTTTTGTATCTAGTATCTGAAGCCGCTACAGTTTTGTGAAATGTAGCTAAAAGCTGTAACGCCTACAATTGTCGTATGTAGCTATAGCGATAATTTTCCCTACAATTTCACCACAGACTTCAGACAACCCACGCAAAATGAACCACAGAACACAGTCATTAACTGGGCTGGTGGTGACTGCAATCCTGACTGAGCCACGGACAGTTTAAGCAAACAGGCACACGCTGATCACCCCTTACAAGCAGGATTAGCTCAGGGCTCACAACCGAAATGTTAAGAAGAGCCGTTTTATCCTTTCAACAAAAATGAAACCACCTTGGGAGCCACAACCATGTTATATTTACCATCTTGGCAGTAAATAAGTCTGAGTATGTGCTAAAGTGCTATTTCAGGCTAAAAATATCATATAAACACAAACACAGACTTACTTTGCTCTGCTTTAACCTTTAGCTCAACTGTAGCTGCTTTTCTCGTCTCTCAGTCAGGAAACTTTTCTGAAAATAGCCAAAGTTTCTTGTAAAATGTCTCTCAACATTACATTTTTTGCGAGGCTGAAGTCGCTTCTCATTCACCAGCTTCTTGTTCTAATTGTCCTGTTGCAACCTAAATGGTGCCTGAGGCGCCAGATTGTACTGCAGCGCCATTTAAGGTGGAACAGGAAAGAAGCTGGCAAAGGAGGAACTGGCAGCTTTGCGGCTTTTTAGTGTTTGACAGTTTCTCATTGCAGATTAAACATGTCAGGAAACCAGCTGGAGTGATTATAAATGCATATAAGTCAGTTTGTCTCCAAATTATTGATGTTCCTCTTAAATCTCTCTCTTTGCCTTTTTGTGAGCTACTAGCTCAGCGAGACTGTGTCTGTGTTGCTGTGGTGACTAGCAGTCTGTGCGCCAGCCTTCAGGGTTAAAGAGTGAATTAGCAGTTCAACATTAACTCCTGTCTTAGAACTGTGTTAGAACTGTGTGTTATAACGATCAGCAGAGCTTTATTTTACAGCAAAGGAGGATTGTTTTTTACCTTAAAATCTAGCTCTGATATGGAGCCGTGTGTCGCCCTGGCTTAGCTAAAGTGGAAAAAAACATAATAGTCATGTCATGAATGTCATAGAATGTCATTCTACATTTCAGATTTTGCTGAAATGTTTAAATTGGAGCAGTTTTATTTCAAAAGTTGACAATTCTTCACACAAAACTGTTTGGAGTGTATTCGGTTATTTTTGTTGATTTTTGGTAAGAAAAACCTGGAATGATTGACTTTGCCTTTAGTTAGTCTAAAGTTTTAGTCTAAAGTCTAAATTTTTGTTGGATATCAGGCCTTTGGTTGTGGAAGTTTGATTGTTAGTTACACTTAAACTCACTTTTTTGTGGGTTTTTTTGTATATTTGCAGCTTTTCAGTTGTGTTTCTTTCTAGCTCATCATTAAATGCAGTGTCTTGGTCACACTTTCAGTTGGGCCTGTTTGGTGTGTCAGTTGGAGATTCACAAACATTCTGACAGTCTCGCTTTAAAAGTAGCTAAAAAGTAGCCACTACTAATTTTTCAGTAGCTAACCAACCCTGGAAAGAATGCACAAACAACACTGTTACTGCAGGGAAAGAAACCTTCATTGCTCTGCATCATTTTAATAAACTAAAGTGAACATTTCCCATTACATTTCTTAATGTACCTCTCTCTCTCTCTCTCTCTCTCTCTCTTTCTCTCTCTCTCTCTCTCTCTCCAGTCTCTCCTGAGGTGTCTCTGTTCCAGAAGAACTCTTCTTCTCCAGTGGTGTGTCATGCTACAGGTTTCTTCCCCAAAGCAGTGATGATCTCCTGGCAGAAGAATGGAGAGGATCTGCATGAGGACGTGGAGCTCAGAGAGACGCTACCCAACCAGGATGGAACCTTCCAGAGGAGGAGCGTTCTGACTGTCTCAGCTGAGGAGCTGAACAAACACCACTACACCTGCATCATTCAGCACAGCAGCCTGGAGAAGGAGATGCTGCTGCTGGTGTCTGATTGCAGAGTCCTGTCAGGTAGGAAACATGATTCTAAATGGAATTAAAAACTAGTCAGCTGTGTTCAATCACACAGGTAAAAGAAATAGAATATACAGTATATTCCAGCTATAAAATCACTGATTTGGTCAGTAATTGTGCTCTTACACTAATCTCGCTTCAGGTGGATCTGTGGGTGTCACTGTTGGTGTAGTCGTGGGTGGTCTTCTTCTCCTTGTCATCGTTGTTATTTGGGTGTTTGTGTGGAAGAAGACGGGGACATCCAGTAAGGCAGATGTCTTGCTGGACAGAATGAATCTAGAACTTTGTAGATTCTTTCACCAGGATCTATTCGTTATAATCATGCTATAACACTAAACTGAACATTTTTAAAAGTTAACTAACTGTTATTCACTATGAATGTGTTATTGAGGATGTGTTCAGTGTTGCTGACCTTCTGTAGCTCTTTATATCACTTTATATCTTTATATCACTTTTTGTAGCAGTTCATTTACAGTGTTCATACTGTTAATTTTGGATCTTACATTTCCCTTTAGGCATCTAGCCTGTGTCAGGACACCCCCGGTGACCATGAGTGAGTATTTGTCATACTTATGCCTTATTAACAAGTAATAAAGTTATATAGCTTAATCCTCTTTATGAGTCCCTGAGCGTAAATGCTGAGTATTTTATGTTTTATAGTCTCTGAGGAAGAATCATCATCCAACAACTTGTGCAGATTTGTGCAGTACTGTATTTTAAATATCCTGCCTTCAGCCCAATGACTGCTGAGATAGGCTCCAGTTCCCCCTGTGACTCAGAAGGATATGTGGCTTAGAAAATGTGTGTGTGTGTTGTATTTGATTCAGATGGTGCCTGTACTTGCCTTAAAGTCAAGTCTGATTTTCTTTTCAATAGAAATGGCCCTACATTGCACCCTCATGTAAACGCACTAGGGCTCAGACATCACTGTTGGTGCCAATTCAGAAAGGAAAGAACTCTAAATGTCAAGTCAAGTCAAGAGGTTTTTATTGTCATTCCATCTACGTACAAGTACACAGTGGAGTGAAATTACGTTCCTCCAGGAACAACACGGTGCAACAAGGAACAAAAGAGTACAAGAGTACAAAATTACAAAGTGCGAACGTGCAGACAGTGTGCAAACAAAAACTAAGCTAGAAACAATACAATAAATACGATAAATTAAACAGACATTAGACACAGTAAACAGACCAGACAGTGTAGCACCAACACAGCACAGAGTTCTGGACATAAGGTAGTGGAATAAGGTACAGACATATTTAACATGATGTGATCTGTAAGTTACGTCAGATAACATACATAAACACAGCAGTTACTGAGGTAGTAAAACAATTACTGAGGTTGTAAACAGTGTAAACACGGTATTGGCAGCAATGTTCCAGATAGATAGTGCAAGTAGAGCATCAAAAGAGGTGTGTATGAGTTGGGGGGGGGTTAGTTAATCGCTTGAGGGACAAAGCTGTTGCAGAGTCTGGCAGTGATGGCCCGGATGCTCCGGTACCTTCTGCCGGACGGCAGCAGTGAAAAAAGTCTGTGTGAGGGATGGATGGGTTCAATCTTCTGATTTTTATCAAACACCCCTCAGTGTTACTGTGGTACAGAACCATTTCCTGCTGAACTATTACAGCACTATTTAAATGCATTTTAAAAGTAGTTTTCTAATTTTTCAATTCTTCAAATGCAGCGGTTAAGATAATGCTGCAGAATAATTACTCCATGATGTAAATATCAAAAACAATCCATGATTCAAATGTATACAGTACTTGAAAGTAATCTATAACTGAAGTCTCTTTATTTTTTTTTATTACAATTTCATGTTCATGTTTATGATCCACATCTTGTCTTTGTATTTGGTTGTATTTGTGATTTCTCCTTTGTGTGGAATAGTTTTCTGCTTCCTGTTAGGGAATCAGGTAATCAGCTGATTGTAAGTCTTATTATAATGGAGGGTTCACCTGTATGTACAGTGGGCTCTGCCTGACCTTTGCTGATATTATAGGCTTGTTCAAATTCTGACTGACAGGATGGTCAGCAGGTTTTAAACATGTAACAGAGACGAATGCAGCATGTAGCATCTCCCCCAATGACTCTTAATTGATGTAGTGTGATGTGCTTGGCCAAGCAGGAGATTGAACCCAGGCTGCTCAGTGGAGGGCAGTATTAGCCACTATACTACACCAACCATGTAACCCATTCAAACAAACCCTTTTAAAGTCCAGTTCTCTCCATTTACTGAAACAACCTGTTCATTTAGTTCACACTTCATTTATAGGTCATTTATATATGATATTACTACAACTGATCTGACTTTGTTTATGCTTGACGAGGTACAAGTATGGATTAACCCTCTACTGCACAGTGTTGCCACAAGTACTTTATCCTAATTTTACTAAAAAGCAGTAATATAAAATCAGTGTTTTCTTATTTAATTGTGAAAAAGCGTCTTCTATTTTGAAAGGACAAATACTTCATGACATCACATGACCAGGAATTCTTATTATGATGTTGGTATTACCGTACATTCCAAATACCAACTAAAATTGTATTAATTTCCAGTATTTGTAAATATTGGGTCATAAATTTCACTAAGTAGAAGTTTGATTTGTTTGTTCTTTTTTTAAATTAAAAGGATAGATGCTTTTAGAAAAAAACAATTTATGAATTTTAGATTTATTTTTATTTTTTATTTTTAAAAATTATTTTTTTAGATTTTATGGTGCTATGGTATGATTTCTCATTGTTGCCAAATGGCAACAATGTACCAAATAACCCACTACATTTTTAGAAATAAATATTTTTCAAAAATTTCCACTATTTAAACAATTTAAAATAACAAAAAACACATTAAAGCATTGTACCATGTTTAGTGAATAATTCATGCAGCAGAGGGTGAAGATGGGATAATATTTGCTATTAATATAATAATTAGCAGTAAATGACTGCTTTTTATAACTCTTATTCTTGTGCCATTGGCTGCCACACAACCCCAAAGCATAATGAACTGACCCCAGTCCATTTTGTATTTTAAAGAAAATTGTTTATTATTATTAATTAGTCACCTTTGTGATTCTTCATCATATCAAACCGATGGATATCAAGCTGTAACAGCCTCTCTGATGAGATGCTTCCTCAAACTCCTCAGGTCTTTCCTGAGGATCTTCACAGTGGTTGAGAACATTAACTTTGGAGTTACATTCATGTTTACAGTGTTCACTTATTTATCATTATCCTGAAAACTATTTTAAAATGTGTATAAATCAGGACCGGACTGGTGTCTGTATTTATGATATACAAACAAAACATTTATGTGTAGCTAATTAAATAAGATGTAGATGAAGCAATATAGAATAAGGGCATGCAGATTCTGATAGACTGTAGATGTTCAGAATCTGCAGTAGTTTATTACAATTGTTGTTGTTTATGGCTGGTAGAGTAATGAGGGGAATCAGGGTGAAATGAAAGACCCTCAGACACCTTAACTTCTTCTACCTCACAACAGAGCTCTGTGTGATCAGTTCATACACAAGTGACTTGATTGGTCGCGTCTTATAAGAAGATCTACTGAAACTACAGGAAACAGTCTTTAACGTTCAGCTCTTCATAGCTGTGTACACGGAAATCGACTCGACATAGACTGTTTACAGTAAAAGAGTTCTCTGCTGTTGTCAGACTGGTTTAGGACCAAAGTCACTTGCGTATGACTGTAAATGCCTCTAATATAAATAACATACTGATGCTAAGAGAGGTATTAGTATAGGGTTGAGCTCTGTGTGTGTATGTATGGACTCTAAAGGACACTTGCTGCTTATCTTTCATTCTTCTTTGTAGTGGGTCATCATTGATGGTCAGTGGTGTGTGTCGGCATGTAAATAGCTCAGAGGTGTTTTTCACAAAGCAGGATTTCTTAGTAAACCTGATAACATAGGCCAAACGACAAGCCTCTACATTAGCAGATGAGCAGAACACTCCTATTGGACGGTCCTCAACTTTTGGCTTAACTTAACCAGCTTACTGAGAAAATCCTGCATTGTGAAATGCCCACCAGTTCACTGTAGGATTGTTTTGGGAACATTTTCTCCCAGGCTGCTTTTTCCCTAACTGGTAAAATGTGTGACTATTTTACTTAATGTGAGGATCTACACATCAACAACACTTGCAGGAATACACAAATGTTGATTGCCGTATCTTGTAAACAAAATTAACAAAAAAAAGAAAACACTGCTGAAACAGAAATAACAAATTAAAAATAGGTCAACACCTATTGATTCTCCACTGATGTCAGTCTTAACGTCCTCTCCACATTTCCTCAGTCTCATCATGTAATATAGTTTCTCAACGGCTGCACCCTCTAGTGGTCATCAGGCCTGTACTGGGTAGGAGCAAGTGGTCGGATCATGGTATTGTGAGGCCTTGGAAGCCCCTCAAATAAACCAATCAGTCAACCAATCAATCAATTAATCAACCAATCAATACCCAATAAATAACTCACACAGAGTGATTATGCTGATGTAACACACTTCACTCAGTGAAGTCAGTGTACACAACTGAACTATGGACATTTGAAGCAACACTTAAGGAAACTGCTTTCACTAGAGATTCATTTCAATCCTATTTTGTATTTCATTGTATTCTGAAATAAAGATTAAGGGTCTGCACACCAGAGAGAAACGTAAAAAAGCTATAAACAAATTGTTTCTTTACTAAATTTTATTTTAATGATAATTAAAAAAATATTTTTTTTAATGTCTGTAGTTTGACACTAATGGATGAACTGATTTGATCTTCAAGCTATTAAAGAAATTAAAAGAAATTTAAAAGAATGTGTGTTTGTGTTGTAAATAAACTGAGTGTTGGTGGTCAGATGAGGTCAGATTGTGCTGAGTGGAGACACTTCACACTGACTGTTTGATACAGTAGAAGATATTCATTCACACTGAAGAAACAGAAGAAATGTGTCCTCAGATAAAGTCTGGTTATCACTCTTATAAAATAATAGACTGATAAAGTGTAAGTGTGTTTTTCTCTGCTCAGTATAAAGTCTGTAAACTCCCTGGAGCTGTTTGACACTCTGGGCGAAACAGGCTTTAACCTGTGTGTGTGTGTGTGTGTGTGTGTGTGTGTGTGTGTGTGTGTGTGTGTGTGTGTGTGTCAGAGCTGTGAGTGTTCAGAGGGGGATGGAAAGTCTCTGCGGTTCCAGAAGAGACATTGCAATGCTTCCTCTGCTGAGTCTCTCTCTGTATCTCTCTCTCTCTCTCTCTCTCTCTCTTTAGTAATGTAATAATACAGAGCTGTAGCTCTGTGTTTGAGTGGCTCTGGAGTTTGAGGAGTGGGTGAAAGCCCTCCTAAATAAACCCTAGATGAGACGTGAGATATGGCACGTGCTTCATTTCCCCTCCGGAAGTCAGAACAGGCGACGCCCCTCTTTGTGAGAAAACTCATAAAGTCATGGTGCAAATGTGACCCTGATACCTTACTAACAAAACCTGAGACCTGCAGTTTTATTTCAGACTGTTATACTCAGTTAATCAGTTAATCAGCTCGACAGGGTCTGTTTTTAATGGCAGGAATAAAAACTCATCTAGTGAAAAATGGATGGAAAAGCCATCCGACATTTAAACTCAGTGCTGAAAGGCCGCCTGGTGGCTACACAACATTCTATAACAGTTTCTATGGGAGCACATTGCAGAGCTTTTTCAAATTTAAATGCAATTTTTAAAAAAATGCTGATTAAAAACAGCTGCTATTGACATTTTAACAGGTCGAGGAGAATTCTGTCCAAAGTCATTTCCTGTTGCTTTGTGTAGAAGTGATTCTTGACTAGGAGAGCTTGTGGCTACACAAGCAGCAATGTTAGTGACTGTGTCTGTGTTTACATGCAAAGATTTTTGCCAATCTAATTGAATACATTCTGTTTATACATTAAGACTGATGTGTTTATATTCTCACTCTACTCAACAATCTGATGGTAAATCTCGGTTTACATGCTCACTACAAGCTTTCCGATGCAAAATTACACGCATGTGTAGAGAACCGCTCAGTGTAGACGTTACCATGACAGCGAGCATCACGTGAGTCCAGTCAGAGTGAGATGAGCAGCAGTGAGCAGCGCTTGTGTTTTTAATGACTTTAAAATGATGTCAGACTCAGGAAAACGTCCTTCACATGTCCTTATTAAAGAAGGCCGAGAGGGAGACGTCGTGTTCTGAGACACATAAGCTGGACGTCGGTCCCACCGCCGTCTTTTAAAGACCAGAGCATAAACTTCGTCTCTTCTGCAGACCAGTTTCTGCTCCGCCATGTTGAACAGTATAAACTTTCACTATGATGTGACGCACATGATCAGAACAGACTTAAACTTTCGGTTAGGGAATGTAATCAGATACAGATACATCCTAATCCAATTGAGCTATTAGTCAGACATTTAATGGATTATGAGGCTGCATGTAAACATGGCTATTGTGACTGGCTTTTGGCAGAGGCTTGCAGGATTTTTAAAACTGAAAATTATAATACAAATAAAAATATAATAGTTTTCTGTCATTTAAAAAAAATACTATCATTTTAATTATTGCTTTAAACTGAGTGATAGCAAATTTGTCCAGCAAGACTGTTAGTCTGGCAGTGACTCTAGCGTTCCTCTAAGCAAGAGATATAAAACACTCAAGTCTCTCAAAACGGTTTCAGACATAAGGTCAAAAGTTGCAGAAAGACTTATTTTGTTGGTGTTAATAAGTTAAGCTATCCACTGCAGGGAACACACTTAAATGTGGCATATTTCTGAAATTTGTTGCAAAAAATAAAATAAAACAAACTGAACATTTTTAATTCATGGCCTTGTTGAAGCAAGTCAGGTTATTCTGTACTCAGTTCACAGATATGAGCTCTCACACACTCACGTTTCTGTGCACCTGACACATTCTGTCACACCTACATCTGTCCCCTCAACACAATGCCTAACCACCAGCTAACTGTTGCAGCACTAAAACCAGGCCATTGCAGTCATATGCAAAAGTTTGTGCGCTCCTCATCAAATCCCACATTGTTGTTGATTTTCTGAGTGTAAATAAGTGAACACATTTTCTACAGAGACACTTCAGCACAGTTTAACACACAGTTACCTTTAAAGTAACTGATTTAACTGTAAGTAAATGTTTTACATGAAATGGACAAAAGTGAATCAGTAAAACCTCAAATAAACTGCACTGAAATGCTTCAATTTACTTCTATCAGCACTAGAACTTTTCATTGAAGTAAAATGTCTATATAGTGTGTATACTATAAAGACTGTATATAGATATATAGAGTGTATATTAACTCTACTCTGTTTGACTGAATGGTAATGTGTGGCATGATTGAATTATGTTCATACAATGACTTTAACTGAGTATACATTTAAATTATAAATGATTCCCCTCGAGTTTAAACGTTACTCATTTGTTCCAGTGATTATCTAAAGTTGTTAGTTGTGATGTTACTTCGTATCTATAAGTCCTAAAATACTCAGTTCAGGCTTTTTTTTATTAGAACTAAAAACAGAAGCTGTGGATCATTTGTTGATCATTTGTTCATGAAGGCAACATGCGTGAACTCTCAGATGAGGTGTGTGTTAGTGTGAATGTGTGTCTCTTTGTTGCTGCACATCTCACTTTCCAACCGCAGAACTGACCATCAGCTATGATCACCTGCTCGCTGTGTTGAAACCACTAAAGTAGTTGTCCAAAACAGTCTCCAAACAGAGAACACTCAGCAAGCGCTCTCACACACTTTGGCCGCTTTTCCACTATCGAGCCAAATGGCTCTCAGGGCCATACCGGACTGTTCCGTGCTGGTCTGGACTCGTTAGACCAGTTACAGTTTATTTTTCCATATGTTGTACCGCAAAAGAACCAGGAAATACCCAAGAAAACTACTGCTGTTAAAACTGCTAACAGGCCACACACACACCACCCACCACTAAACGTATTTGATTCCATCTGTCAACTCCAACTCCGGTCTCTCGGCATGCTCTCATCTTCTCAGCCTGTACTGTGGAGGATTTCACCTGTAGCTGGATAACTAGCTACATTAGCGTTAGCATCACCCAGCAGGGTCCAGCTCAAAGCACCACAATCCTCTTTTTTATCTCTGTCACTTCAACACCAGTCATTTGAATCTGTGCTCTCAGATACGAGTCTTTATTCTCTAAATGGGTGTTTTCAATCATCAGTTTGCTGTAACTGAGGCCGTACTGCAGTGGGAAGCACTGTGTATTCGCGTTAGCTGAGCCTAGCAGGCTACAGCTTAGTCCCTCTAACAACAGCCGCTCAGCGTCGCTTCCTCAGATTTGACTCGTTATCATCTAAAATTGTGTCAGTAAAGTTTTTGTCAGAATCGAACCTGTTCTTACACCATGCTAGCTAAGCTAACACTAACCAGTTACTCTCTCCTGGTTATCAGCGCCGTCGAATATTAAGAATTTGTGGTTAGATTGAAGCTTTGATGTTTATTGAATGGTGGGTTTAAAATCCTGCTTTCGTTTATGTGCCGTTCGTGTGAGCGAACTGAACTTATTTGATGGTTTGACTGAAGTTTTCATGTTTGAAATATCGCAGCAGGATGCCGTGGAGCAATACTGACATAAACATAGAACCACTGAATAGCTAAGTCGTTACGTCATCCCACGGAATGGTTCTGTGGCCCTGAGTACGGTTTGCTAACCGGTCAGCCCTGCAGTGGTAAAGAAGCCTTTGACTATCACAGTTTCTGTGCCCTCTTCTGTTCCAGCATGACTGCCCCAGTGCACAAAGCAAGGTCCATAGAGGATGGGTTTCACACTTGCCTCCATTCACACTATCACTATTTCCCAGCCTCCGGACTCCATTTCCCAGAACACCTCACCTGATCACATGACATCATTAGTTTATAAGCCTGGGCTTGTTTCACAGAGCCTTACTGAGCCTTCCTGTCAATTTGTGTGCTTGTCCATGTATGACCCTTACCTTGTTTAATTTTGGCCTTGCCCTCTCAGTATTGTTGTGATTTCTGGGTTGAGCCTTTTTTTGTTGATTTTTGGACTTTGTTTTTTGGACTTCCCTCATGGTTGCTGTTTTCATGATCTGGCTTTTGACTTTGAACTGGTTGACCTTCATTTTGTATACTCCTTTTGTTAAAGACCTATTTTACTTCAGTGTGGTCTGCAAGCATCTGAATTCTGTCTGAGCCTGACAGAATACTTCGCCATCATGCAGACCCAGGGCCAGCTCCTGGGACAACACCACCAGCTTCTCGTCAGATTTACTCCGTCAATTGGTGAGTTAAAATTACAGCAGGTCAAGCAACAGTGTCAAATGGCTCAGCTTATCACTGGTGTTAAAGATCTGTCTAGCCACATTCAATATCTGACTGGTAAAGTTCAAAGACAAAGTAGAGGCTGTGGTTAATTGGCCTGTCCCCATATCCGTAAAAGAACTTCAGAGATTTCTAGGTTTTGTGAACTTTCATAGAATGTTCATTAGTTCCATCGCCGCTCCCCTTACTGCTCTTTATAAAGGGGGCCCTAAGAAGTTAGTTTGGCGTCCCAGTGCAGAGGAAGCGTTCAATGCACTCGACAGCCTTCACTAATGCCCCCCTTCTCAGACACCCAGACCCATCGTTGCCTTTTGTTGTAGAAGTAGATGTATTAGAATCAGGAATTAGTGCAGTTCTGTCCCGCCTAAACTTCATCCCATAGCTTTTTTCTCACACAAGCTCTCACCTGCAGTTCCAGTCTGACAGTATGGCTGGGTAAGTTTGGTGTGGAAGAACTTGAATGGCCAACACAGAGCCTTGACCTCAAGCCCATCGAACACAGTACTTACTGAAAAATGGCTTTGCAGTTCCCAGGAACAGCCTATGGTGTTCCCCTTGACTTCTGGTCCCGAAACCTGACACAACATACAGATTTTGCCCTGACAGAAATTACAGTCTGTCTCTCTTCCCACAGACACACTACAAAATCTTGTGGAAAGTTTCTCAGGAGAGTGGAAGCTGTTAGAGCTGCAAAGGGGACCAACTCCATATTAATGCCTATGGATTTAGAATGGGATTCATAAAAGCTCCTGTATTTGTCCCAATATTTTCCCATCATGTTAAGCAACTAAGCATTATGTCAACAAATAAATAAGTAAATTTTGCACTAAAACTTCAAAAAATGTTGTTTTTTTTTTCTCTACAGGGAAGGTGTTCCACTTATTTTCGCTTAGAAAATCCCTTTTTTGGTACTATATAGAACCCTGTGCTGGATATTGGCCCTTTGTTACCAGCCCCCCTGACACTTTATGTGTGTGTGTGTGTGTGTGTGTGTGTGTGGGTGTCTGCATGGCTGTGTTTGTATGTTTGCATGGTCTCTAACCGGAAACTGACCGCCTGCTTTTGTTTTCACAAGAAATGCTGCATCAAAGCCACACAAACAGTTTTTATCACTTCAGTTTCTACAACAGCTGCTTTTTCACAGTGAACAAACTGAAGAAATACTTTGTTTGGTATTAAATGTTCAGTCAGAGTCTTTTGTTGAATTTACATCCTTTTATTAGGGGACAGGCTAAATCAAAGTAAAAAACAAGCAAGGTCAGTAAAAAGTGAATCGGGCAAGGAATCAGGGTGAGGACTACGACGTGCACACAATAGGCAAACAGCAATACAATGAGAGTCTCTTTCCAACCGGGCCTATATATATGTGTACATATAGGATGTTGTATGGTCCATAAGAATTTCTTGTGGCATCTTAAAATGATTGTCATGTACTTAGGAAAAGCAGTAGAGCAATGTATAAGCCCCACCCCCCCTGTTTAAGAGTCAAAACTTGAGTCAAACTTCCGCTGTGGTATTGATTCAGTATTTATCGGTGATGTATTTGAGTTATGGATCTGCTGCTGTGGGGGGTCGATAAGTGTTTCTGAAATCAGATCTATGAAATTGCTAAACCTCTTGAAAGTAAACTGTAAAAAAGAACCCCAAAAGTTTCTTTTCTGACAGAATGTAGGACTAAAAAGCGACAGTGCTGCAGTTTACAGTGCTACACTGGTTCATCAACTCAATCTAAAAAAATAACTTATTGTGGTAACAAGCAATTTAACTGGTTTCAATCAACTCAATGCAGTAAGAAATTAGAAGTTAGCTCAAATTAAAATAATAAAGTAACTGATTACACAGCTTTTCTTGAGGCAACTCAGCTTGAGGACACATTAAAGTTTTCAGTTTAGTCAAAAGTTCTCTTAATACTCTAGGTCTGCATCTCAGTTAAGTAAACAGTATTATATTATATTCTGACAATATATAATTGTCTCCATCAGACAATCTCATTAGGTATTTTTTCCTCTTGGGCTTCCTTGTGGGGGTCAAACTCCCCTGATGTCAGGATCAATCGTTAGGCAAGGCAAGTTTATTTAAATAGCACCTTTCATACACTGCTGTCATTCAGAAAATACACAGTTGTTTTAAAAACGTTAGGGATAAAGGAAAATAGAAATTAAAAATGTGATCTCAAGTAGATCTGTGTATCATCTGCATAGCTGTGGTAAGATATCCCACAGTCTTGTAGTATTTGGCCAAGAGGCAGCATGTGTAAATTAAATAAGAGTGGCCCAAGAATTGAGCCTTGGGGGACACCGCAGGTCACTGGCGCTCTCTCAGAAACATTATTTTCTATTTCCACAAAGTAGTCCCTTACTTGCAGGTATGAACTGAACACCCTACTCAGTTCTGAAGTCTATCTATGAGAATTGTATGGTCAATGGTATCAAAGGCAGCGCTGAGATCGAGCATTCATAGAACAGATGTTTTTCCATTGTCTGTATTTAAATGAATGTCATTAATAAGTTTAATTAGAGCTGTTTCAGTACTATGATTAGGCCGAAAACCTGACTGAAATTTGTCTAGACAGCTATTTAAGGACAGAAAGCCAGTAAGTTGCTTGAAGACAATTTTCTCAATATTTTTTTCAGTGAAAGGTAGATTTGAATTCAGTCTGTAATTACTCAATATAGATGCTTCTAACTTCTAACTGCAGTTTATAATTTGTTGGGAATATTATGGTTTAAAAAGGTAGCAAACTCATTGCATTACTCTGGTGATACTAATTCGGGGTCCATATATGTAGGTGACTTAGTTTGTGAACCATGGCGAAGAGAATTCTGCTGTTGTTAATATTATTGTTGACAATGCTGGAGAAAAAGGATTGTCTAGCTTTGCACATTATTGTGTTGTAATCACGCAGCCTATCTTTGAAGATTTCTTTGTGGATCTGAAGCTTAGTTTTACTCCAACTGCGTTCAGCCTTCCTACATTCTCTCTTTTGGAGTTGAACTGTAGTAGCAGTTCTCCAAGGTGTTTCTGTTGGCATGATATAGTTTTAGCTTTAACTGCTGCAATCTCATCCACAACATTGGCAATTTTTGAGCTGAAGCTATCCAGCAAAGCATCAACGGAGTCGGACGTCTTTCATGGTGCAGAGCAAATTCTGCTCATAAAAAGAATAGCTGTGCTGTCATTTATAAAATGTGTCTGGTCTTGATGTTTAGTGACGTCCACATTTCAAAGAAAATACAGTAATGATCTGACAGGGGGACTTTCTGAACAGTGGCTGATATGTTGAGACTCTTTGAGATAACCACATCCAGAGTATGGCCATGACAGTGCATGCTCCCCATCACATGCTAAGAGAGTCCAAAAGAGTCCAATACAGCTTAGAGTTCCTTGGCATATCTGTCATTGGAATTGTCAATATGAATGATAAAATCACCAGCAATAATAAAATGATCAAAATCAGAAGAAACAAATTCATCAATAAAATTAGGTCAGGTCAAATTTATTTGTATAGCGCTTTTTACAACTGATGTTGCCACAAAGCAGCTTCACAGAAAACCATTTAGGACAAAGTTTTAACATGAAATGTAAATCCTCCAGGTGAGCAAGCCAGGGGCGACAGTGGCAAGGAAAAACTCCCTCAGAGCTGAGGAAGAAACCTTGGGAGGAACCAAGGCTCACAAGGTGGGACCCATCCTCCTCTGGTCAAACTACGTACAAAATTATTATACTACTAATATTAATAGTAGTCCACTGAGTCCACTTCAGTGTAGGGTGGGCAGCCAGTCCAAGGCAGGTTGCGGTAGCTGGGCAAGTGGCGGTGACTGGGGCGTGGGCAACTGGTCTGAAGTGGGTAGCAGGAGAGCTCGACAGACAATCATCCATCAGTATCCGGCCGGACAGGTGGGCAGTCGTTTTCTCGGAAAAAAGATAGGTAGATGGAGTTAGTTTAGTTCTGTATGGGTGTATGTATAATAACATATAGAACATTTCCAGAGTGTGGCTAACACGATCTGACTATAACAGCTTAACTAAAAGGAGAGAACCAAAAGGGCACACAGACACGGGAGCACCCTGAGACAATTTGGCATCCCTCCGCTGCACCGTCCACAAACCTGAGTGATCGCGTGTGAGCGGCGGGACGACAGCACCAGCGTCTCTGTTTACTATAATTCCCTGCGTCCATGGACCCCTGGATCTGCTGCCTTTATCTAAGGGGGAACATTAACTACCAAAAGCTAAACTAAACAAGTGAGTTTTCAGCCTAGATTTGAAGATTGCGACTGAGTCTGAGTCCGGAACATTTTCTGGAAGATCATTCCAGAGTTTGGGGGCTTTATAAGAAAAGGCTCTTCCTCCAGATGAAACCTTCTGAATTTTGGGAACTATTAAAAAAGTTAGAGAGGCTCCCGAGTGGCGCAACCGTCTAAGCGTTGGCCCTATCATCAGGAGATCGCGAGTTTGATCCCTGGTGATGCTACAGCCGTCCGTAGCCAGGAGTCCAAGAGAGCACAATTGGCCTCGCTCTCTCTGGGTGGGTAGGATGGCCCCTCCTTCTCCCCCCATCACTCAGCGTGATGCTAGTCAGCGCAGGCGTCTGTTAGCTGATGTAACAGATCTGGCGGTTGGCGCTTTCCTCCGAGCGCGTTCAGCTGTCCAGTGACGTTGCGTGAGCGGCAGTTCGAAAAGAAGTGGTGGTTGGCTTCACAGGTCTCGGAGGAAGCCTGTGTTAGCCTCGCCCTCCTAGCGTTGATAGCATCGTGTGATTGGGGGAGTCCTAACTAGCGGGTAGAATTGGAGACGACTAAATTGGGGAGAAAAATCGGGTAAAAAATTAAAAGTTAGCATAGTACTTTGGAGGCCTGTATACATTTACTAGTAATATATATATATATATATATATATATATATATATATATATATATATATATATATATATATACATATATATATATTATGCGTCTGGCAATCCGATGGATTATCAGGAGTTGGGCTCGGCCCCCTCCAGTGAAAGGAATTCTTAATGCTTCAGCAGACCATTTCGTCACAATTTGGACAATTTCATGCTCTCAACTTTGTGGGAACAGTTTGGGGATGACCCTTCCAACATGACTGTGTACCAGTGCACAAAGCAAGGTCCATAAAGACATGGATGAGCGAGTTTGGTGAGGAAGAACTTGACTGGCCTGGACAGAGTCCTGACCTCAACCCGATAGAACACTTTTGGGATGAATTAGAGCGGAGACTGTGAGCCAGGCCTTCTCGTCCAACATCAGTGTCTGACCTCACAAATGCGCTTCTGGAAGAATGGTCAAAAATTCCCACAGACACACTCCTAACCCTTGTGGAAAGCTTTTCCAGAAGAGTTGAAGCTGTTATAGCTGCAAAGGGTGGACTGACATTAAACCCTATGGATTAAGAATGGGATGTCACTCAAGTTCATATGCGTTTGAAGTCAGATGACTGAATACTTTTGGAAATATAGTGTATGTTCACATTATCTGGCATGTACTCCCTGTTCTTTCCGTTTCTGATGAGTACTGGAATGGGGGAGATTTCTGGAACACAGGGTCCGAGCTTGTTTTATAAACATGTACTGCTGACATCATCACTGAAGCAGCACAGACCTGAAAAATATCAATTTGCCAGATTACTTGAAAATGGTGTGACCTCTTTCCTTTCAGCAGAGGAGGGTAAGTGGAGCTCTTGTTGGCGAAGAGGAGAAGAGTGAAGCTGCCTTTGTGTGGGTTGTGGCGCTTGTCTCTTTCTGTGATGTGGAGCAGGTTGAGGAAGCTCTGTTTAATAGTTCATCAATTTGGCTGAGCTTCAGTGAGGTGGCTTTAACTAACTTATTGATTGTGATGGGGCAGGAGGGTTGTTGGGTCCCTGAGGCAGAAATTCAGGATGGAGTAGTTTTTTGCTGAACCTGAGGGCTGACTGACAGGGCGAGCGACAGCCTCGTCCCAGTTAAAACCAGCTCCATCATTAGTGTAAGCTTCCTGGGTGTGTTAAAGAGATCACTAAACTCACTTTTAAAAGCTTCCTTGTGTCATTCTTGCCAGCATGAACAATGATCCGCTTCACTGTTGTGCATTAGGCCAGTAATGTCCTAGCTTTTTGTTCAGCTCAGACACTGTGATGTTGGGCTCACATCGAACTATGAATTTACACCATTGTACTTTTTACACCATTAACAGAGTCATCTCCAAAAACAAGGGTGTCTGCTTTGGTGTACATTAGCGTAAAGCTGCCCAAACTCTGTGTGTCTCCACTGGCCGCTGCTCTGCCCATTGTCTACTGCTAACACTCCCACAGACTACTCCTTGTGTAACGGAGGAATGCCAGTCCTTAAACTCTGGTAAATAGCTACAAATACGCCCCTCCAAAATTGTCATTTCTTTGTAGAAGACTGTAATTATTTCGACAGCACATGCGCTCTGAAACCTGAAGAGACATTGTGTAAGTTTCTACTTTGGCACCCAGCAGAAACTTCTCTGAGTCCTGCATCTATAGCAGTACTGCGAAAAATACAAAAAGCAAGAAAAAATATCCACTTTTGGCTTCATAGAGCTCTTGATTTTTTTGATTCAGAACAAACTTCTGAAAATAAAAAGAGGAGAAATGAAAAATAGCAGAGCTAAAGAGAGAAGCATCCAGGACATGCGGCCATGCTACTCTTCAACTTTAAAACAACAAATATTTTCTGTATTAAACATTTATGGACACAAATCTTAGCAGCCCTTAGGTGTTCCTGAGTGCTGCAACAGACTGAGCCTAGCGATGCTATAGCCATCCATAAGTGAGTACCCAGGAGAAGAAAATGGGACTGTGTGATGGAAAGAGTCAGAAATTCTGCATTAATTACCTAAACGAGAAGCAGAACTACAAAATTAAGAGGACTTCAGACACAACTAAGAGGTGTGAGGAGGGCGTCCTCAAGTAACGGGTTAACTCAAGAAAAGCGAAATCAGTTTGCTTATCATTTTAAGTTGAGCTAACTTTCATTTTTACAGTGAATCACTCTAAATAATGAACTTGAGTGAAACACTAATGCAAAATTTTAGTTTAGATGAAAAAAACAATTCAAACTGCAACACCACTTCAAACCAACAGTGTAGTAATGTTCAACTGTGTTTAGGCAAGGACAGTCTAAAATACAAAACCCTGTGCATTCTGGAAAAGTCTGTGTTAAAGAAAGGCCTTTTAAAAGATCAGTTAAAGCACTGCTTAATGTATAGACATAAATAAACATACTGAACTCATTGTATACAATATAAAAACAGGTCTGTGTTGTTTTGTGTTTCAGGTGTTCTGTCAGTGTGTTTGAGCTCTCAGACTGGTTTACCTGTAGAAGCAGAACCTGGTGATGATGTCACTCTCTGGTGTCAACACAGCTTAACTCCACCAGATTATTTATACTGGATCAAACACACAAATAATTCAGTACCAGTTTATATTGCATGCAAATATTACACATCATCATCATCATCATCATCATCGTCAAAACCCTGTAATTTTATAGCTGAGAGTGACAGATCAGTGATGAGAGTGAACTCTATGAACTCCTCTCTCACTATAACTGCAGTTACTCACTCTGATTCAGGACTCTATTACTGCAGCACACTGAAAGGAAAGCGGATGATCTTCAGTAACAAAACTTATTTACAAATCAAAGGTACAGTTTTATTTACTACAAATAGCTCAAGTGGAAAAGTATTAAGCTACATGAAGCAATGATGAAGAGTATATAATTGCATGATGTAAAATGACTAAGTCACATTTTATTTTACAGAGAGAAGTCAGATATCTTCAGATGATCCAGAAAAATATAACAAAGGTCAGTTTTATCCACCTGTGAGGCGCAGTGTATTACTGATTTTACAACACTGTTTATAGTGCATTAATAAACAACTAAGATTTTATCATCAGAGACAGTTTTCATCTTTATTCTTAAGTCTAATTTGTGTATTATAAGCTGAAAATGATCTCCTGTGGTGTTTTTAGATGCTGACTCTTATCCTGATGTGTTCCCCATGCTGACTCTGGTGTTTGGAGCTGTGATTGCGGTTCTGCTCAGTGCTCTTCTCATCCTGATCTTTACCAGACCGAGTGATCAGAAAGAGCATCACAAAGACGGTAAAGTGACTTATTTAAACTTGTAAACTAATATCTCAAACAGATATGAGAGCTGGAGAACAAGCACTGTGGCAAATTTGATTGACTCATACCATTCATATTCATGACTCACAACATTCATATTTTCTATGAATTTGCCAGGTTTAAAATATATGTTGTTAGGCTGCATATAAAAAATTAAATCTTCAATTTACGTTTTATTGTATTATCAGCTTCACTTACCATATAGGTGTACTTTGTAGTTCTACAGTTACAGACTGTAGTCCATCTGTTTCTCTGCATACTTTGTTACCCCCCTTTTACCCTGTTCTTCAGTGGTCAGGACCCCCACAAGTCCACCTCATACTAGTGCAATTCACACTAACACACCAAAACCACTCACAATCAGTGTCACTGCAGTGCTGAGAATGACCCACCAACCAAATAATACCAGCAGGTTAGAGGGTCCTGTGGAGGTCCCATGTGGCGGATAAGGTGTAAAGAGATGTACTAATATATATATGTGTATATATATATATATATACAGTGCTGTGAAAAAGTATTTGTCGCTCACCCAATTTCTTCTATTTTTGTTAATTTGTCAAATTTAAATGTCTCAGATCATCCAACTAATATAAATATGAGATAAACACAACATGAGTAAACACAAAATGCAGCTTCTGAATGATCTATTCCAGATTTTGGAATAGAGTTTGACTTATAGACCACTCCACAACCTTAACATTTTGTTTCTTTTAGACCATTGAGAGGTGGACTTACTTGTCTGCTTTGGATCATTGTCCTGCTGTATAACCCAACTGCATTTGAGCTTTAGGTCACCATCTGACAGGTGGACACTCTCCTTCAGGATTTTCTGATCAAGAGTAGAATTAATGATTTCATCAATTATGACAAGTCGTCCAGGTCCTGAAGAAGCAAAGCAGCCCCAGACCATCACACTACCACCACCATGTTTCACTATTGGTATGATGTTCTTATAGTGGAATACAGTATGAGCTTTACGCCAGATCTAACGGGACCCATGTCTTCTAGAAAGTTCCTCCTTTGACTGATCAGTCCACAGAATATTATCCCAAAAGTCTTGGGGGTCATCTAGATGTTTTTGAGCAAATGTGAGACGAGGCTTTGTGTTCTTTTTGGTCAGCAGTGTTTTTTGCTTTGTAACTCCCATGGATGCTGTTTTTGCCCAGTGTCTTTCTTATTGTGGAATCATGTCCATTGATCTTAACTGAGGCAAGTGAGGCCTGAACTTTAGATGTTCGTCCGCGTTCTTTTGTGACCTCCTGGATGATTCTTCAGTATGCTCTTGGTGAAATTTTGGTAGGCCGGCCTCTTCTGGGAATGTTCAGTACTGTCCGATGTTTTCCATTTGTGGGTAATGGATCTCACTGTGGTTCGCTGCAGTCCCAGAGGCTTAGCAATGGCATTTGTATTTGAATCTCTTTAAAAAGTGGCATCATGTCCTGCTTTTTGAGACCCTCTAGCTGCTTCACATTGCCAGACAGGTTCTACTTTAGTGATGTTTAGATTCAGCAGGTCTGGCAGTGATCATATCAGGGTGGATAGTGAAAATGAACCCAATAGTCAGTTGAATTTGGTTAACTGGTTGCTTTAGTAGCCATTACAGGGACAATTACTTTTTCACATAGGGCCAGGTAGGGCTGAATAGCATTTTCCCTATAATAAATGAAATCATTTAAAAACTGCATTTTGTGTTTATTTGGTTTACCTTTGTCTAATTTAAAAAGTTGTGTGATCATCTGAAACTTTTAAGTGTGACAAATATGCCAAAAATAGAAGAAACTGGGAAGGGGCAAATACTTTATCACAGCACTGTATAGGTGTCTATCTTTGCACAGGACAGGATTTTATAATTTTTTTCCCTCAATGTGTTAAATTCAGTAAAATATCATTAATTGTGTATTCTACACAGTAATTGTGTGGATGTCTGTTCTCTATAGAGGATATGTTGGCTTATCTATACAACAACATGGGTTTTGACTGTAGTTTATTGCAATTATTATTTAACAGTGAATTTACTGTGTTTGTAGCTAATAAGAGATCTTAACTGTGGGAGAGAGACTGTAACATATTGTCTACAGTGGATGGTTGTTTATTAGGTCTCTATCAGCTCTCTGTACTGTTTTACTGCAGGATCTGCAGAGTTCACACTGCTGATCTCCATCTTCAGTCTTATTATACAGTGGATGATTGTTTATTAGGTCTCTATCAGCTCTTTGTACTGTTTTACTGCAGGATCTACAGAGTTCAGACTGCTGGATCTCCATCTTCAGTCTTATTATACAGTGGATGATTGTTTATTAGGTCTCTAACAGCTCTCTGTACTGTTTTACTGCAGGATCTGCAGAGTTCAGACTGCTGGATCACCATGTTCAGTGTTACTATACAGCGGTGGAACACAAATGCATCACAGTGTAATCAGTGCATCGCCATTGAACCAGAAGAGACCATAATCAATGTAATCATTTTCACTGTAACTGTGGTTAATCTTCCAGTAATCTCCTCACACAGTTTAAATGTTCAATATTTAATAAAACATTTTTAATGAAATTTGCATTTCTGAATCTTTATCTTAATTTAGTTTAATACAGGTCAACTCAATTGGGGGAAAATGGGGGAAGAAGCCCCTCTTAAACATGCTTATTCTAAAATTCTAATAATTAAAATCTATTAATAATTTAAGAAATTGCAACACCAAATATCCTCATTTATATGCATTGTTATTATGGGGCTCTATACAGCAGGAACAGGTCACCCTGGAAATGTAAATTTTAATTCAATTTAAATTTGCAACGATATGCAGATCATTTAAACCCTGTATTTCATTGATAATAATGCAAAGACAACATATCAAATGCTGAACCTGAGAAATGTTATTGTTTTTGAAAAATACACTATATTGCCAAAAGTATTGGCTCGTCTGTCTTCACATGCATATGAACCTTTGAGTGTCATCCCGTTCTTAATCCATAGGGTTTAATATGATGTCGGCCCACACTTTGTAGCTATAACAGCTTCAGCTCTTCTGGGAAGGCTTTCCACAAGGTTTAGGAGTGTTTATGGGAATTTTTGACCATTCTTCCAGAAGCACATTTGTGAGGTCAGACACTGATGTTGGACGAGAAGGCCTGGCTCGCAGTCTCCACTCTAATTCATCCCAAAGGTGGTCTATCGGGTTGAGGTCAGGACTCTGTGCAGGCCAGTCGAGTTCTTCCACATCAAACTCGCTCATCCATGTCTTTATGGATCTTGCTTTGTTCACTGGTGTGCAGTCATGTTGGAACAGGAAGGGGCCAAACTCCCCAAACTGTTCCCACAAAGTTGGGAGCATGAAATTGTCCAAAATCTCTTGGTCTGCTGAAGCATTAAGAGTTCCTTTCACTGGAACTAAGGAACTATTTAATAGTGAGGAAATTTCATGACTGGACTTGTTGCACAGGTGGCATCCGATCACGGTACCACGCTGGAGTTCACTGAGCTCCTGAGAGCGACACATTCTTTCACTAATGTTTGTAGAAGCAGTCTGCAGGCCTAGGTGCTTGGTTTTATACACCTGTGGCCATGGAAGTGATTGGAACACCTGAATTCAATGATTTGGATGGGTGAGTGAATACTTTTGGAAATATAGTGTATTTTTATATGTAGTACAATGTGAATGACATAAAAAGTAAACATGAATCTGTTTTATACAAATCCATGAGTTAAACCTGTTAAAATATTGTTTTATATTAAAAATTGTTTTCTCAAATGTTGAAAACTGCATCTGTGATGAGCTGTTTTACAGATGCAGAGTGACTATGAAACAGGATAAAAAAGAAAAATCTGAGAAATCATGAGGGAAAAGTGTTATTTAAACTGTGTCAACTGTGTAAAAGGACACACTGACGTTCAGAGCTGTGCCTGATATTTTAAGCATCTCTTTAAGCCCTGCAACCTTTGTGACACGGTTTCCCCTCTCATTAAATTCTGGAGAATGACTCATTAAATCTCACTTAAGAAACAGGCCTGATGTCTTTTTGGCCTGACACTCTTCAGGCCTTAAGTTTCTGTCAGACACACTGAGTCAGTGTTATTGTTCATTGTTCAGTAATGCCTTGTTGAAAGAATAAATGTTCAAGTGGTTTGTTTACATAACATATTTACATAATGCAGTATTTTATTTGCTTTCATGGGTGGACAAAGACTAGCCAGATTTACTTCCAGCTTCTTATGACTTAGTGGGCAGTGGTTATCTGTCTTCGCTGTCCAAAGACCAACAAGCAGATCCAAAAGGATGTGGAGGCCAAAACATTACTTATTTTCAAATTAATATTAAGAGATTAAATTCCAAGCAATACGGGAGCATTTCTATTTCTCCATTCATCATGATATTTTAATATAATACAAAGGACAGATGCTGAGCTCAAATTATGCAGAAAAACCTAGAATCATAAAAAAATTGGATTTTGTGTTTTATTTTTATTTATTTATTTATTGGACAACAACAATATAAAACACTTAGATCCTCTTAGATCAGTGGTCAGCAACTCAAATGTTAAGAGTCATTTTGTCCACTCAAGCCACTTTGGCAGCCACAGTATTTTATGTCCATTTTACTGGAGTAACATTTTGACCGTAAACATGTCTCAGTATATGCTAACGTGCTAGTATAAGCTAAAATATAATACAAAAAGAAAACTCAGAATTATTTTGCTCTGCTTTAAGCTTTAAAACAGCTATAGCTGCTTTTCTCACATCTCCAGCAGGAAACATTTCCGTAAAAGTAGAATAGTTTCCCTGTAAAATGTCTCTCAGTGTTCAACTTCAAGTCAGCTTCTCATTCACCAGCTTGAATGTAGCTGCTGCAGCATTTAAGGTAGAACGAGAAGAAGCTGGCAAACAAGAAGCTTCAGTTTTGTGACTTTTTAGTGTTCGACAGTTTCTCATTGCAGATTTAACAGATCAGGAGAGCAGCTGGAGTGATTATGAATGCAAATAAGTCAGTTCATCTCTGAATTATTGATGTTTGTCTTAAAACTTTCGTTTGCCCTTTTGTTGGTGAGATTGTTGTCAGCGTTGCTAGAGTGACCAGCAGTCTGTGCTGATCTTCAAGGTTAGAGGGTGAATTAGCAGTTCTACATTAACTCCAGCATTTAAGACCATTTATTGTTAAACTGTGTTGAACGATCAGCAGAACTTTATTTTACTGTAAAGGAGGATTATTTTATCTTAAAATCTAATTCGGCTGTGGAGCCGCAACAGGGCAGTAAAAGAGCTGCATGTTGCTGACCCCTGGCCTAGATCCTCTGCGAATGCAAAAGTTTGGGCACCCTGGTCAAATTACAAACTGTTGTTTTGTTCTTTAAAATAAAACACATCCTCTCTTGAGAACACACTTCTATACATTTTAATGCACAATTACTGTTTGTGTACTGCATTTACTGTATTGGAAAAATAAAACATAATAAAAGATGTATTATGCATTAACTGCATTGAGAACCTACAATAGTGAGCATAAAGAACGTCACCACTGTGCAGATAGGATGTTTCAACTAGGACACATAGTGAGCATGTAAAAATGGAAACACTGTATTTTCTTCTTTATAGTCTTTAGTAGTGACACTATAATAATACTAAGTAATAATAAATACTGTCAATAATTAGAGCATGTTAGCTAATTTCCTAAACTCTAAATACAGCAAATATGTGAATTGTAAAAGTTGGCAGGTGTGGTGTTTGTATGAGGACATCTTAGCCTGAAAGTTTTCCAACCACAAAACTGACCTTCAGCTTTTCTCACCTGCTCCCTGCATCAAAACCACACGCCTGCAGCTTTAACACCTCTTGTGCTCCACTAGCAGAAACAAACATCAAACAGCAGCTCAGCATCTGCTAAAATAATACCAGGGGTCAAACTCATCAAAGCTCTCCTTAAAGACAAACATTAAGAAGAATGTAAACCTGAGACCCTCTTAACTCTTCTCCTCAGAAAGCCTTTATTATTTTGTTTATTTTGTTCTTATTTTATGCGTAGCCTGTAGATACTATGTTGCATTTTACAGCTTAATACAAATGATGCAAGTTAAAAAAGAATCCTTAATAATGTTTTTGAAGAATAAAACTTCATTTTCTTTATTCATTTTTATTTGTGAACCCGGACATGAATAGTGATTATAAGGTGGGCCTTCTGTAATGTAAAGCTGATTAGATTTAGATTTGATTTTAAAAATACCCTAAAGTATCATCATAACATCATTTTCATCATCGTCAGAAAGACACAGAACTAGTTCATCACTCTGTAACAATCCCCTTGTAAATCTCAACCAAGAAAACAGTTACTGAAGTCCAAGGACTATACACCCCAAGTATAAGAGTAGAGGAGATTGCAAATAAGCCCAAACAGGAGAGACTAAAACCCGTTGAAGTTATATTGGAAAAATCAGTGGAACAAACACATACACATATACAACCCCTATATACACACAATAAGTGCCCAGTGTCCATCAACTCTGAAAGTCCAAAACTCAAAGTCACAAAAAATCCAAAATCCCACAAGTCCTTAGCAATGCATTGCAGTGAACGAAAAAAGAAAAAATCCAGGATAGATCTCACCGGTGGAGCAGGCCTGACATCCAGTTACATCCAAGACAGTTAGAGGAAATCCACCTTCTAGTTCCTCCATGCGCTTGTCTTGCCCTTTTAGATGGATCCTCGGCCGAGCTCATGAGTTCCCAGGTTGAGTGGTAGGCTTTGGGTTGTACTGCTCCTCTCACCCCAAACACATCACCACCCTCACTTCCACATGGCCAAACTTTTTTCTCTCCTTCCTCTTCCTGGTTCCAGTCACCTGTCTCAGTGACTCCACCCCCCTTTTCCAGCAGAGCTCTTAAAGGGCCTACGCAACTCTTAGTTCAGTTTCAGTTAGGGCCCCTGTATAATACATGGCTAATACAGAATAAAAAAAACTCCATTCATTTAATACGGTAACCACACACAAAGAAGGTTTAACCTTGCAAGGATTTTAATTTAAACCATTTCAAGACTTCTCATGTGGCACTGTCACAGATCCCCCCCCCCCAGCCGGAGGTACGAGGGACTCAACTCCAATATAAGGCTTGAGATTTCCCACATGCACTGTGTCTACTCTGTCAGGGTTATTCTGCCATTGTAGCCTATAATTAACAGGACCTAGAATTTTCATCACCTTAGCTGGACCTGTCCACTTTGGTGCTAATTTGGATGAAAACCTATCAGAGGCTTTGGACTGTGGGTGTGCCCTAACCCAGACCAGATCTCCCACAAGAAATTGCGCTGGTCTCCTGTGGGCATTATAATATCTGGCTTGTCTTTGTCTGGCCACTCCCACTTTCTGCCTTACCTCCTGTGCCATCTGGTGTTGTTGTTCAAGTAGGGTATATGATTGCTGTTGAGGATGAGGTGCTGGTGTTTGATGAATTAGCCTTTCTAATGGGCCTTTCAGTTGCCTTCCCAGGGCCAATTCAGCCGGAGTTCGCCCTGTTGTTTCATGCTGGGTGCTGTTGATCGCAAACCGGAACTCTGACAACCACTTATCCCAGTCTTCATGGCGATTACCCACAAAGGAGGCCATCATAGTTTTTAGAGTGCGGTTAA